CAGGGTGTGGGTAAAGTCTCAAGTGATTTACAGATGCAGTCATTAAAACATGCATCATTTGTAGTCCTTTGAAAAAAGTGCTCAAAGTTAGTAGAGAATTTCATTGGGCTGGAATGTTGCTAGTTTAATGAGGAACTTTTACAGCTTAAAAGCATTTGTTAAACAGTTATTGGAAACATACCAATATTTTAAACATTTTATATCATACGTGATTATCTACATTGGCATTTTTACTGTGTTTGGGGAGTGACTTGGGGATTCATATCTAATCATCTTCCCTTTTCAGTACTAGAAACTACATATTTGTAGTGCTTTGTGAGCCGGCATCTGACTTTCTGCAGTGGATTATTTGCAGGATCCAGGAGTTGCCTTTGGCACCAATCTCAGTTCTGTAGCGCTTTTTAAATTGTGTTCATGGCCATCAAAATCCTAGGGTTCTTTTTAGTACCTCTGGGTTCTACAGGATTTTGATTCTGTATTCATTTTTAAATGTTTTAAACTTTGTTTTAATTTTTAAAACATTTTTAAATGTCTTCCAGTTGAAAATACAAAATGTTTTTGCATGTACTAATCCTTCAAGTGTTCACCCACCAGCATGCTGATTTCTGGCATAGACTTGAGATAAAGTTCTTACCAGCAGCTCACTATTCTATTAAAGATTTCTCCCAAGTTTGCAAATTGGGCCTTTAAAACAAAACATTTGCCATTTGCGGCTGCTTTTCTGTGTGAATCAGCATTTCTACAAAACTGTAACCATCTAAAATATAAAATTTTAAAAATGCTAAGGCTGACCATTAGAGTTATACACAATAACTAAGTTTCATCTTTGTTCACTGTTCCACCTTTCTAATTGATTTTTATAATACATATTATACATTAGAACCACAAAAATGTTTTATTAACTTTATATGCTAAACTTTAGTTTATTCCCTCCAAGATACATATTAATCTCTTAAAATCATGTTTGGAAACAGTGGCTATTGTAATCATTTCTTTGGCTCTTGATGTTTAAAACATCTATCCTGTTTCCCAGAATAATCATTATATTTTTCTAGTGACAACTCCTACACACTGAAACCATCAATAATCCCCAGTACTGAGGGCAGATTTATGATTAAGTCATAAAGTCGAACAAATGATAGTTCATTAATTCTTGTGTAACCTGTGTCCTGTTTTCTTTTGAAATATGACAGCAATACATTCAGTGAGATCAATCTAGAATGCCATTTTATGAAAAATAAAACTCACACAATTCATTATTTTTTTATCCTCAATTTACTTATTTATAAAGCAATCAAAGTTGTTTTGAAAACAAACATGGCTCTCATGTGCTTCACGTGAGAATGTATGTTAAAATTTTTGACATAAAAAAACTGATGCATATTCCTTAATGATTATCAAGTGTAATAAACTAAGGTAGTGCAATGATAAAAGTACCTAGTGTTAATAAGCATCTAGTAAATAGGTAAAGTTGGAAGGTGATATATTTATTCTCAGGTATAGGGATTTTAGATAACTCATGCCAAAAATTACTTTTTGTAATTAGTTGCATCAGCACCAAATTATGTATCACACAGTGCTGTGGTCCTCTGTAAGCAAGATTTGAATGTGAATGTGGTGATTTGTTTTTTTTTTTTTTCAATGCAAGGGATTTTTTTTAATTTCTCAAATTTATTGTACTAGTGAATATTTTTTTTATTTTTAGTGGACAAATAATTTTTTTCTTCATGGGGCACAATGTGATATTTTCATCAATGTATGATTGCAGAAAGATTCTATCTAATTTTTTGTAGGGTAGTTAAAAATTTACTATTTTCTAATATTTTGGAAATTTAAAATGTATTATGATAAACTATGGTCCCCGTGAGTGCCATAGATCCCTAAAACATTCCTTCAGCCTAAGACTCTGTACCCTTTGATAAACATCTTTGTCTGCCCCACCCCTCTCTCTGCCCCCATCCTCTGATAACCATCTTTCTTTTATGAGATCAACTCTTTTAGATTCCACATGTCACTGAGATCATACAGCCCTTATCCTTCTGTGCCTGGCTCATTTCACTTAGCCTAATGTTCTTGAGTTCCATCCACATTGTCCTAAAAAACAGAATTCCTTTCTGTATCACAAATGTGTATTGTTACTGAGTATAGAGTAAGTCCCCCCTTAATCTGCAGGAGATAATGTTGCAAGACTCACATTGGCGTATCTGTGATCAAGTTAATTTATAAATCAGGACAATAAGAGATTAATAATAACATAATTATAATTTTAACAATGTATTATAAGAAAAGTTATGTAAGTGGAGTGTGTCTCTCCCTCCCCCCCGCCCCTCTGTTTCATATCTTTCTATACCACACTATCCTTTTTCTCATAGTAATGTAACCCTTGGTTCAGACCAGGGCTAATCATAGGTAATTGAGACCTCAGAAAATAGGAAGGTAGATGAGTGGGAACTCTTGCTATATGTACCACATTTTCCTTATTCATCCATCCATCCATGGACACAATTTAAATTGCTTCTCTACCTTGTCTGTTGTGAATAATGCTGAAATTAACATTGAAATGCAGATGTTTCTTCATTATTCCAGTTTCCATGCTTCTGAATTAATGCCAAAAATGTGATTTCTGAATCACATAATAATTCTATTTTTAATTTTTCAGGTAATTGGTTCAGTTTTCCATAATGGGTGTACTAATTCCCATCAGCATCCTATAAGGATCCCCTTACTACACACCCTTGCCAGCATTTATCGTTGGTTGTACTGTCTTGATCATAGCTGTCCTAACAAGTGTGACATGACATCTCATTGTGGTTTTTAGTCACATCTCCCTGATAATTAGAGAGGTTGAGGTTTTTTTCATGTATCTGTTGGCTACTGTTATCTCTTGAGAAATGTTCTTTCCCATTTTTTGATAATGCTGTTTTCTTGCTGTTGAGGCCCTTTTGGATGTTGGGCAAGGTGTGTGATTTGAAGTGTCTTCTCCCTTCTGGGGCTGTCTCTTCGCTCTGTTAATAGTTGATAAAACCCTGTCTCTCATAGAAACTAGAGCCTATCCTCATATCTTTTAATAAGTGAAGAGCTAAACAAACATATATCTGTAAAATGAAATAGTGCTTCACAATAACAAAGAATGAATTATTGATTGGCATGTTAGTACAGATGAATTTGCATTTTGCCAAATAAAAGAATTCATTTACATTCCATGTTAAAAAAGGCAAGACTATAGGCAAGAAAATCAGACCTCTGATTGCCAGGTAGTGGTATAATCCAGAGAATAATATAAATGTCCTTGATTTTTGTACCAAAGAATGTAAAATTCATGAAGGAAGCATTAGCTCACCACAATAATAATCATCACAGGCAAGATCCATTTGTGAATGCTAATGTTAATGGGCAAAAGCTAGAGAAATAGGATGTTTGCATAGTTGGCAAAATATTTTCCCCTAAACATTTATATAAGAAAACTGTCAGATATTACCTTAACCAAGTAATCATGGTTAATATCACCAGCTATAAAACCTAGACCCCCCTGAGTCCATTGCATTTTGTTGTCTCCTCCCCCGCAAAATCGAGTCATGAGGAAACATCAGACAAAACTAAGTTGAGGATGTTCTGCAAAATGATTGACCAGTGCTTTTCAAACTGTCAAGTCCAAGAAGAACCAGGCAAGGTTGAGCAACTGTTACAGGCTGGAAGAGACAAAGGAGCTGTGACAACCAAATGCACCGTGCGATTATAGATGCAATCCTGGAATAGAAAAATAAATTAATGAAAAAAACCTGGTGAAATCTGAAAGGAGTCTCAAGTTCAATGCATAGTATTTTACTAATGTTAAATTTTTAGTTTAGAAAAATTTACTGTAGTTATGTAAGATGCTAACAGGAGAAACTGAGCATATGGAAACTCAATGTACTATCTTTGAAAATCTAAAATTATTTCAAAATAAAAAATATGGATGTTTAAGAGTCCAGTTTTACTTTCATATATTTCACAATTACTTATAAAATACCAGTGGATGAAAGAAGGCTATTTTTCTTTTGACTACCACCATCATCAGACATACTTGATGATTATTAATCTTGTGATTTATTCAAAATGTTTTGGTAGTGGTTATTTTGGTTGAAGTTTTAATAAAAGATTCAATAAGCAGAATTTAATAAGAAACCACAGGTGACTCTAGAAATCGAAAAAGCTGAGCAAAAGCAAATACCTTTATAATGGTGTTTTGTTTTCCAGGGGCATATCGGAGCTCATTGACTTCCCTCTTCTTTGTTAACCGATAAGGTCATTGTTTTCTGCCTCCTCTGTGCTTTGTATATGTTATAGTCTCAGGTTTAAACTTGCTGCACTTGTAGGAACAGGGATTCAGAAAAGAGAGGCAATTAGGGGTTTTCTCAGTGGCTGATAGGGTGCCCCATGCTTATATGATGGTTGAGACAATGGCACCTGTAAGATGTCATGGCACCATCTAAATCACGGACAGGAGGCACCTGGGGTTTTGATATTAAGAATTAGCCTGGTTATTTGGCAGATATAGTTCAATATTACTCAGTGGACTCAGTCTGTAATTATTTGTTGTTTTCTATATGCCAACCTGTGCTAGGTCCTGCAGAAATACAAAAGTTGAAATCGTGATTCCTGTCGAAAAGCGCCCACTGGTTTAGGCATCATTGTGGGAGGGAAGAGCCCAGGCTTTAGAATTTTACAGTTATACCCTCATCATCTCTTGCTTTAATTACTGAGTCTTAGCCCGGTATATACGTTTGGACTCACTGATTGTTTCCTTATCTGTACTACAGAATGCTATATTGATCTTACTAGATTGTCGTGATCATTAATCCTCTCACATTGGAGGCCCTTTGATAAATGGCTATTATCATGGTGATTTGTTTTCAAGAGGGACCTTGTTAGAAAGCAAGGGAGTTTACACTGTTTTTGTGTTTGTTTTGAATATCGTGGTAGTTGCTTGGCTCAGTCTTAATGTGTTTTTTCCCTCTTAGAGATGACGAAGAGAAAAAAAAGTCCCCCTCAGAAGGCACTGATGAGAAGGCCAATGGAACACATCCAAAGACCATCAGTCGAATTGGGAGCACGACCAACCCATTCTTGGACATTCCTCATGACCCAAATGCTGCTGTATACAAAAGCGGATTCTTGGCTCGGAAAGTCCATGCAGATATGGATGGAAAAAAGAGTAAGCTTCATTCGTTGTTTTGTTTCATGTACTTTAGCTTAAATTTTAAAGTGAATTTGTTTGAAATAAAGTTATGGATGAAGAAAAATCATGTTTATTTAGAGAAATAAATAAATAACATGTTTATTTAGAGAAGTGTTCTTAAGAAAGTCTCTAATCCTAAATCAGAGATCCACTGTAGCACTGCTCTTCTCTAAGCAGAATGGTTTAGAACTCAAGAAACGGATGATTTCTTACAGAAGACTTATTTCTCAGACTCTTATTCATTATGTTTCGTGGTTTCAACAAATAATACTGTCTGTCTGCTATATGCTAGGCACCAAAAATAATAGGATGGACAAGATCCCTCTCTTCATGGAGTTTACATTTCTAGTGGTTGAAGAAAAGATGATTTATAACACAGATTAAGCAATGATGTAAGGTCCCAGGAACAAAGGGAGAAGGGGGAGATTTCATATCTAAAGCATGTGTGGAGTGGATGGCCTTGATGAGACGAGCAGGTGAGATGTAGAAGAGCATGGCATGAGTAGTATTGGGAAATTGAAGGAATCCCATCCCAATTTCTCCATGGAGTATGAGATGTGATTATCTTCTGATAGATAATGGTATTATCTGGTAGATAATGTTTAAAGTTTGGGAGGAATGGAATATGTTTACACAGTTAGAATAATTGCAGAAAGCCAAATAACAATTTGATATAGTTGAATGGTTTAAGACAAACTGATGTATGTGCTCAAAATGAGAGGACTTTACCTCTGTGGTGTCCCTGCCTTCCTGCATACACAGATGTGGAATAACATGGAGGGGGATGCACAGTACCTCTGTTTTTAATCTCTGACTGGACATTTTGACTTAAGGTGTTAGCAGATTCTATTAGGTTGCATTCAAGGGAAGCATTGTCTTGGAGTGGTTTTAACAGTGAATGTGGTATTAAGCAAGTTTCTTAGTGTTTCCAAGTTCTTTAGGAGTACCTCCACCATATTTTCTGAACATCTTATTCACTAGCCTAGGAAGCTACTTAATTTTATCTAACAACTTTGTGTGAGTTCCTATAGCTGCAAGTGATGGCAAGTCAATCTAACTTAGAAAAAGGTCACACCTGAAGATGAAGAATTATGAGGACACCCTCTCCATTTCTATGTGTATACAATTTTGTATGTTAGCTTTATTCTTTCAAATGGGTCATTTTATACATGGCTGGATATATGGCTGTTAGCAACATGAAAGATCATGTACTCAGTTTTGACACTGAGGAAAATTTTCCTTCTGCCCTTTAGGACAGGATTCTGATCTGTATGACCAAGCATATGAAATACCTTGATTGACAATATTTACTTTATTGCAGTATTGAGATGAAAGTTTCTTCAAGAAGGAATGAGATACAGATCTCACAAAAAAGGGATATCTTCTTGGCAAACAAAGGATTAGATATCCGTCTTTATTCGAGCATGCACATACATTGTGTTTGAACAATGCATTAATCATAGTAAAAATTTCCATTTATAACCACAGATATACTTTACAGCATGCTATGTCCAGCTGCAGCTTCTATTGCCAAGGATAAAATTGGTTGGCTGTGTATATTCTCTCTAGTTTAGGTATGAATAGAGTGCCAATCTATGAACTAACTGAAAAAATATAGAAATATCTGATATACCTACTACATATAAAGTACTGGAGGAAAAAAAAAAAAAAGAATAACACAGTTTAAAATGCCAGCTCAAAAAAAGGCAAAAAAAGGAAGCAAAACAGCTCCCACTGATTCAAAATATGCACAGCATCCTGCTAGACAAGGAGAGCAGAGTCACCCATGTGAGCATCCCTCATTGATGCACTTCCTGGCAGTGGATTGGCTTGGCTGGTTAACTTATTTCAGCATCCTCTGGCTTTTCCTCCTGAGGGAAGTTCTCTTTGTGTTCTGTGTTCCTGGGCCATCTCTGAGGATTGTTAGAGAGGATTGCTCTGCTGGAGGCTCTGCTTCCTGAGAACCCAATGCACATGAACGTGAAATCCAAGGGTTGCCTGGCAGCTGAGCTATCACACACCCCTTGTGTCACACTGGAAGTTTCCTGCCAGTACAACTCCTTTAAATTCTCAGTTAACTACTTTGAGAATTTTTGATTGGTTAGGACAATCATAAATGTCATGGAACAGTTTTGTCTTTCGGGCAGCTAAAGAAATTCTGCCTGTTTCTCAAAGAAACCTGCCTCTGCTGTTTTGGTCTCATCTCCTGTCTCATATCAGAGGTCAAAATTCAAAGACAGGATAAGACCCTGCCAACTGGGCTCCAGTTTCCAGGCTTTATTCCTGTCAGTTAACTTATCCTTGAGGAATTTTCACCTCTGAGTTAGAGGGATATTGGGCATTTTACCCTTCTTTAATTCCTCAGGCTCTTCCTGGTGATCTTCGTTATGATTTTCTGGGGTTTCCAAATCACTTTAGAGTAGTCAGATAATTTAACCTTTCCAATATAGCAAAGTGCATGATTTCTAATAATTCTACATAAACTAAAAATTGCCAATTTAAAGTGTACAGTTTGAGTTATTTTGAAGATTACTTGGTCTAAACTTAATATAGCCACTTGAACTTCTTTTTAGCTTTTTTATGCTATTTTCCCAGGTTTTAATTTTAATCTCTGGTTTTATCTTTTAAAATGTTTTCTTTTATATAGCATGTTGGTGGGTCTTGCTTTTTACCTGAGCTCATACTCTTTGTCTAGGTGTTTGACTACTTAGATATATAGTACTTACTCGTACAGTTGATTTTAAGTCTGCCATCTTGCTGTATTTTCTTGTGCTATTTGTTCTATCTTTTCTTTTTTTCCCCTTTTCATTCCTTCCTGTTTAGGATTAGTTATTTTTTGTGATTTTGTTTTTCTTCCCTTGATTGATTGACTATACCCTGGTTGTCTTAGTGGCAGCTGACATTAACCTGTCTCATTCCACCTTCAGGTTATACCCTTGGTAGTAGTAGTTGGAGATCCTTGCATCAGGTTTCTTCCATTTCTCCCTTGCTGGCCTTTGTACTATTCCCATTTCTTTTATTCTTTGTGTGTTGTAAAATTCACAGTAGCACATTATTAACATTTTTTTCTTTGAAAAGTAATTTATTTTTACTTTTACCCCCATGCCTATCAGCAAGAAATTTTTTCATGTTTTATCAGTCTGAAAAAGTCTATATCTTGCCTTGATTGTGGGAACTTATATTCAGTGAGTTTAGATTTTTTTTTTTTTTTAATGCTGTTCTCTGCCTCTGGATGCTTTCAATTTTTTTTTTTTATTTACCTCTGGTTTTCATCAATTTTATTATGAACTGCCTTATTGTAAATTTCTTTGTTTTCCTTGTTTGATGTTTTTGGTGTTCTTGGATTTTTGGCTTATGTTGTTTTGTTTTTTTGTATATATATTTTTTTAACTCTTTAGGAAGTTTTAGCCATCATTTTTTAAAGTACCCACCTTCCTTCTGAGACTTGTTTTCTGCATGTTAGATCTCTTGATACTGCTCCAACACTTCCTTGAAACTCTGTTTTAGATAATTTTTTTCTTTTTTTCCAACTATTTTTGTCCTTTCATTACTTTTTTAATAATAATTTTAATTTTCAAATTTACTACCGTATTTTTCATTTTATAGATAGTATTACTTATCTTTGAACTTAGCTGGAATCTTTGTATTCTCCATTTCTCTTCTTATCAGGCTTATGTTTTTCTTCATGTCACTGAGTATATTTATATTTATCATTTTTATAATACCTGTTTTAAGGGCCTTCTCTTCAAAACCCTTCTCTGTCATTTCTGAGACTATTACATTGATGTTTTTTTTTTTTTTCTCTAACAGTCATACTTTCCCTTTTCTTTGCATTCCTATTAGGTTTTTGTTTGGTTGGTTTGGTGGTTTGTACCAGGGATTAACCCATGGAGGGGCACTTAACCACTAAGACACATCACCAGCCTTTTTTAATATTTTATTTAGAGACAGGATCTCAGTTTCTTAGGGCCTTGCTAAATTGCTGAGGCTGGCTTTGTATTTGCAATCCTCCTGCCTCTGCCTCCTGAGCCACTGGGATTATAGGCGTGCACCATCCCAGCCAGCTCTAATAGGTTTTATTTGAATACCAGAGATTATACATTTTCCTTTTTTCCCTAAGCTCTTGGGCGTGCGCGCGCGCGCGCACACACACACACACACACATATTTTGATGTTGGATTTTCTGCTGATCTGCTGATAAGTAAATTGGAGACAAACCAAATTCTTAAATTCTTCAGAAGCTTGCCTTTATTTTTTTTTGTTATCATGGATCTAGAACAGCCTTTGCTCTGGGACTTCTTTAGTTTCATTAATAAAACATTATTATTCATCTTCAGACTACCCAGTCAATGCTCCATATATTACAAAGTCCACTCTGGCTGATGAAAACACAGATTATTCCAGGCCTCTGTGAGCTCTTGAAATTATTCATTTTACAATTGCTTGGTGATTCTTTCCCATGCCTTATCTCCTTTTCCATTGTGCTCAAATTGATGCTCTAGCCAAGATCTTAGAACTTCTCTTCAGTTCTGCAGAGCTCTTACTTTGTACATTTCTACCTCCAATCTTACTCTACTCCAGTCCCCTCTGCCTCACCAGACTCTGTCTCCTCAAGTCAGCAGACTAACTAGCTGTTTAGATACTTCCTTTCACTAAGAAGGCTAGAAAACTTGCTCCAAGCAGCAGTGGGCTTGCCTCATTTGTTTCTTCCTCTTCAGGATCATGGTCCAGTGCTGCTCTTGTACAGTGTCAAAAACCTTTGGTTTTATATATTTAACATATAATTTTGTCTAGTTGCTATAGTAGGACAGTTTATCAATCCCATTTGTTAAGAAATGTCTTTCGGATTGCTTATGGAAATGATAAGGAATTCTGCACATTCAGGTACAAACAAACTGTTTTTTGTATTTAGAAATTCAGAAAGTGGTTTGTTTCCTTCCCACCTAAAATCTTTTCTTCTTCCCCCTTGTGTTGAA